TTCTTTTTCTTTCTTTTCTTGCTGTCATTCTTTCTTTCTATTGTCCTTCCTTCCTTGTTTTCTTTCTTCTTTTCTTCCTTTCTTTCTTTCTTTCTTTCTTTCTTTCTTTCTTTCTTCTTCATCATCATCATCACCATCTAATTCTTCTTCTACTTCTTCTTTACTACTACTACTGCTTCTACTTCTTCGTCTCCTTAGTCTACATCTTTCTCTTTTATTTGTTTGATTATATTTGTTTATTTATTCTGATTTTAATTTTGATTTTGTCATTTATTATCCTCTGATCTTCTCCCCATTTCTTCCTTTTTTTTCTGCCTCTCCTTTATTCCCCATCTCCCACTTCTCTTTCTTCCCCATTTCTCTCTTCTTCTCCTCTTTCTTTCCCATCTCCCTCTTCTTTGTCTTCTTATTCCTCTTCTCCTCTTTCTTTCCCATCTCCCTCTTTTTCGTTTCCTTTTTCTATCCCTTTCCTCGCTCCTCTTTCTTGCTCCACCTCCCTCTTCTCTTTCTTTCTCCACCTCCCTCTTCTCCTCTTTCTTTCCCCATCTCCCCCTTGTTAGTCTTCTTCCTCTCCCTCCCCCCCCCTCATTTTTTTCTCTTTCTCTCCTTCGTCTTGAAAACCCGCGGCGATGGGCTCTTTGCTGACGAGTCCGCGCTAATGGCTGCCGTGATCTCATTATTGACTCCGAGTCGATTTATGGACTGACCTGGAGTTTCATAACGCCCCTCCCTATCTCCCTTCCCTCCTTTGCTCCCTCCCTCTCCCCTTCCTTCTCTCCTTTCCTTTCTTCCTTTCGTCCGTCCCTTCCTCCTCTTTTCACTCCTTCCTTCTTTCTTTCCTTCCGTCCTTCCTTCCTTCTTTCTTTCCTTCCTTCCCTCCTTTCCTCCCTCCCTCCCTCCCTCCCTCCCTCCCTGGCTCTCTCCTTCCCTCCATTCCGTCTTACTTTCGTGCACTACGCCTTCCCCTCCCCTCTTTCTACAGTCCTCCCTCCCTCCTCCCCTCCTTCGTCCTTCTTCTTCCTTCTTCCTCCTTCTTCCTCCTTCTTCCTCCTCTCATTTTTCCCTCCTTTCTTCCTTCCCTTCCTCCTGCCCTCCCCTTCTCTTCCCCTTCCTTTCCTTCCCTTTCCCCTCCTCTCCTCTCCCCTCCCCTCTCCTGCTTTCCCCTCCTCCTGCCCTTCCCTTCTCTTCCCCTCCCCTACCCCTCCCCTCTCCTTCCCCTCCTCCTCTCCTCCCTCCTCCTCCCTCCCTCCCTCCTCCTCTCCCCTCCTGCTCTCCCCTTCTCCTGCCCTCCCCTTATCTTCCCCTCCTCTCCTCCCCTCCCTTCTCCCCTCCTGCCCTCCCCTTCTCCTGCCCACCCCTTTCCTCCCCTTCTCTTTCCTCCCCTTCTCTTTCCCTGCCCTTCCCTCCCCTGCCCTCCTCCCTCCCCTCCCCTGCCCTGCCCATTGATCCCGTGCATACCTGCGTTGAGCGGGCGGCGTGGCTGGCGGTGACCGGACGGGCGCCGATGACCCGCTTGGCCTCGGGCGCGCGGGCGGGAATGCGCTGCGGTCGATCGTGGCTCTGGTGACGAGGCGCGGCGGGAAAAAGGAAAAGCGAAATAGAATAAAGAGAGGGAAGTGGACGGAGGCGTTTGGCGAGGGATGCCGAATGGCGAAGGGGAATGCAAGGCCGCGTTTCTCTCCTGGGAGTAGCGCGGGATCATGGCTATGGCGATGGTTGCGGTGGCTACCCTTCGGTGTGAAAGGGGTTGGGGAAGGAACAGGGCTCGCCGGGCGGTGGTAGCAGCTCTCAAGATAATGATGTAGAGTGATGTCAACGAGGCAATTACAGGTTAACGGTACTGTTGTTTGCCGTTATCAATGGCAGTAAAAATGACGACGGTGCAGTCAGTTCAAGGCAGCTTAATATTTTTTTTGCTTATTTTTAGTTGCTTTAAGCCCCGGGCCTTTTACGCCCCACGGAGACGCATCAGTGCCCGCAAACGCGGTCGTGGACGCTAGAAACGAGCGCTTTAACGAAGGCCTAACAATGGCTAGAGTAAACAGGTCGGGCGCCGCCCCGTGCCCGCCCCTCGCACTCGGGCGCTGGAGGCGGCGCCGTCGATAGGGAGGGATAAGCTGCGGCTTTGTTCCTTTTGTGTGGCTCGTAATGGCGCGGGAGCCAAGGCCGGGAACACGTTCGCGAGGCCTAATTACTGTCAGTCTCCGGAACTCGCGAGAGAGCCGGCCATATTTGCCTGATGTCGGTAGTTCCCGGCCTTGTAAGTACAGCGGGTGACCACTGGGGGCAGACGCGGAGTTGGGTGAAGATGGCGCTCGGGAGGGGAGGCGCTCTTTATTTGGAAACGAAAGGTGAATATTTACTCCACTCGCCGCTGGTTAAGAGCTCGGGATTCACCCAAGGCAAAGGGACGGCAAAAAGGAATAGAAAGCTATTTTGCTGTTTCTCGAACCGGGGTCGTGGGACCGGTCTCAAGGCTCACGACGAGGCATCCAACCGCGCCATCGTGTGGAATTGCGGGTTGAGGCAGAAACAGCCGCCGACAACACAGCGCAGGCGTGA